GGCAGGTTGCAGACTTGCAGTGGGAGCTCTGACTTTGACATGCATGTTCTGGTAATCTGGTTGCATCTTGGTTTATTTGTGTTGAGTTCCATGCAGTTAAATTCTTTTTTGCCTTGGTGAGAAGAATGCCGTTGGTTCTGATAGTGCTCTCTAGGCATCAGTGCTATTTACTTGTTAACCAAAGTGCTCGTTTTGGCCACTCATCACATGAACTGAATTGTACTACCAAAACTGGTGTGATGCTATCTGATCTATCAAACTAGTTCACACATTGTGGGAATCTAGAATAGGAAAATCTAAATTGACTTATTAATTGAATGATGGCTTTGCTTAATTGGTTCATTGGTCAAGTATACCGAGCTGAACTGGAAATTTAGCTTCTTTGTATGCTCATTTCATCTTTACTAGGCTTTAGCTGTTGCTTCTATTTATTGACCAGTACCTGTGTACATGTTTTTGACTAATGACTACTAACTGCTTGTATGGCTACAGACTTGTTCAAGGATATCAAAGATTTTGCCTTCCAACATGCATTTGCATCCTGTGATAATTTTTAATCAACTGTAGATAATTGCATAGAAAATAGTACACTTTAATTGTATTATTAGCAGACTCCTCGTTTATGAGCTGGATTTTGTATAAATGTACCAATACTTTTACTTATATACATATATAGTAAAATTGCAGTAACAACACATAGTATTTGCACTATTTGGAAAGTGCAATTTTCATATTCTTGTTTTGTAATTTTGAATATTCTATTCGTTGTGCATTTTGCAGCAGTAGAATAGAAATGGTATTATATTAATTTTGATTTGTGGTATGGCCCAAGAATATTCAGTGTATGCTTGTATGTATGTTTATTGGGCCGATTGTTTCATTTTGGGCCAAATGAGCTGCAAATCTCCATTGCGGGTATCGGATCATGTGCCCGTTAAGGCTTGGTGGGTCCGGTAGTTGCCTGGGTTGATTTTCAGGTTCATTCGCGGACCCATTTTCCTTGCATGAAGAAGAAAAACAACAGAGACGAGCCATTGGATGCAGATCCAAGGGTGTGGGACGTCTTAATTGAAAAAGGTGTATATTTATTCGACTAGGATATCAAATATCCATATATATATATATATATATATATATATATATATATATAATCCAGATGTAGTGTGTCATCGGCACACTAAAAATAATCATACCAATCGATTGTGTGCATAGCTTTATGTAATGGGTAAATTTACTTCATTTGTCTATTGCCTATTTGGATTAGGTAGACTGGTATAGAAATTCTAAGAATTTTATTACTATTTTACTTTCGACCAAGTTCTTAATGATTTGAATCTCGTTGCTCCCTATGTAGGGCTCATGACTAGTTAAATTTGCTTATCTTCAATTTTTCTCAATTGCTTATATTCTTATGCAATACTCATATAATACTTTCTTACTCATATAAATACTTTCTTATTTGTATCCAATTTTGAGACCTTTTAATGATAGATATAGCTAATTCAGATTTAGGGGTTACTTTAGTTATTTTTAATAATAATGGGCGTGAGTAATTTAGATAGAAATTTAGGGTTACTTTTGTGTTATTTTTTATAATGGCGTATGTAGGTAACTTAAATGAAGATTATGGGTTAATGATGCTTACTGAATTGATGGCTGAATGCTTTTTATGTATATGAGTTATATCTTTTTTCTGTAACGTCAAACAAAAATCACTTATCTATTTCTTTGTAATCCAATGTTTTTTTGCCAGGTCCCCTACAATTTCCCAGGCTCCTCCGCTAGAAGATACGCATAAAACGGACACCACATGGATCATACATACCAGTATGAAAGTTGGAACTAATAATTAATTAATATTTTATAAATACTTTAAACTGATTCTTCCTCGAGTCTATTTATTTAGTTATTAGGGGCATATTCAACTCTATCCTGGTTTAAGATATATAGAATAAGTCCTCGGGATTTTTTTAACTGTATTAGAAGTTATTTTACGTCAAAAGTACATATGTCTTAGTTGTCCCCACTGTCAGACCCAACAAGTGGTGAAATATTTTTTTCTAAAAATTGTAAGGCGTAACAACAAATCTTTCTTTTTCTTTGGGGCTTCGATTTGACAGCCTGAGCTGCACTACAATCTTTATATGTTTTCAGACACATGTGCACTTGAGCCGAAGTGGTGGAGTACTGTGACATTAGAAAAATAAGAAGAGCTTGAACACTTTGAGCTGGTCAACAGGGCGATTAATTAACTTGACAGAAGTTGCGCCACATGGCTCTCCCTGCTACACAGATTACTAGCTAGTACTAGCTCACAGACAATTGCTACGAAGCTCCTTTGGTTGAACTATATGTACGTAGTTGATTGCAGATGACCGGAGTTGCCAAATCCCCCCTTCTCGGCTATATATTTATTTAATTATTATTCATGGCCCCGTGTTGGAAAAAAAAACGGTGTAATATAGAGCAAATCAATCATGCACGTTGTCATACGATCCTCAGAGTATCTCCAAGTGACGCAACCTCGGTCGTGTTGAATCCATGTAGCCGGTGACCCCAGAAACTGATTTGTTTCCATTTTCTGAAATAAAGAAATGGCCTTAAGTAAGAGTAAAGGAGAGCCGCTCTGAAGAATTCTGCACATGGATCTTTTAATTCTGAAAAAGGATAACATCGTTTTCTCTTTCATTTTTTTTCTCTTAATTTCGTTTGTGGGTTGTACTTGTTTTCATACTTGTAAGTTTGTTGCTTCCTTAATAATTTTTTCCTCCACACTCTTAAAAAAAATGCACCTTGTGTGTCGTCCATTAAAGAAAGTATAATAAATAATAGCAGTAGAACCCATGTATGTACAAGATAAAGGAAGATGCAATACTCCACGAAATATCTTCTTGGTGCGTTTTTTGTTTTTTCAGTAGAATAATTTGAATACTGATTTAGTGTTCGAATTCATCGGTAGTTCTTTCCTCTTAAAAAAAGAATACTGTAGTTATTTCCTCTCATTGGAACATGACACATGTTTTTGTTTGTTTCATTGGAACCAGATGTTGAAGGGAATTGTATGATTCAAATCAGCAATGAAGTTGTTTTCGTGTGTTACTAGCTAGTGTTTGGATCAACCTTGGGATGGTTTCCCAAAAATCGGACACAGCCAGCTGCGCCCAGCAGAGATCAGACATATGAGTGTGGAACCCACAATCACACACCTGAAGGCAAGCTGCTTGACTAGGACAATTGGAAACTGGTGGTGGACAAGATGCTCTGTAGGAGAAAATTGAACTATAAAATATATATAAGGGCTGCTATAGTAGATCGATGAAACCCCATTGCTTTTATCACGTGTATTCACATGTCGACCTTATTTCCTCTCCTCTTCTCTTTTCTCTCTCTCCTCCTTCTCGCTGCCATGGAGGCCCGGCACAGCTGCGACGGCGCAGCCAATGCGCTTGCCCAGCGTGGCAGCTGCGTAGCCAAGGCGCTCGGCCAGTGTGGCGGCGTCGCAGCCCGTGCGCACACTTTGTGGCGGCTAGTGCGCTCGCCTAGCGCCGCCGCGGCGACGACGTGTCCACCCGGAACAACGATGATGGTGGCCAGCATGGGGCCAAGATGCTGGTGATACAAGGTGAAGGAAAGGGGACCGAGAAAAATGACTGCTTGCTCCCCTCTATTTGAGGGATTGAGGAGAGGTTTTGAGCTAGAGATTGAGAAAAATTATAGAGAAAGAGGATTAAGAAAGGAGATCTGTTATTGAAGTTTTTTTTCACCTGATTCCCCTATATAAGAGTTTTTAGAGAAATGGGATTGTTTTTCTCAATTTGGTGGAGTTGCTCTAAACCACCAAATAATAGTAAAAATTAAAATGAGAATGTCTTAATATTCCGATGCCTTAGGGCCATAGCTAATCCATGGCTTCAATGCCCAACTCGAGAAGAAACCTCCCCTATTGCTGATTCTCTAGTCAAGCTATTCAACCCTCTACATGAGGTACTCAACTGTTACTATTTATAACTACATGCACTCACACGACCCACCGACGTGCCGCCAGTAGAGAAGAAAAGGCTTTGAGCGTGAGTGACCCCTCCACGCACTGCCGCGAGAGAAGGGCCCAGGGTTAGGATTCCCAGTCACCGACAGGTCTAATCAAGAAAAAACATAGGCACCTTATTATTAGCCTAATATTGTTACTAGACAAGTAAATCTACAGCATCACCTAGTACGTTTTGACATTGGATTCCGTATTATTACCGGACGCAAGTCATTTTAACTCGTACGAGTATAGATCATATACCAGACATAGAGCGCGCTATGGTATTTTAGGAATAACAAAAAAAGATGGTTGCAAGAAACCTTGGTTTCTTTAATATTATATTAATCAGATAGAGATATAGAAGAGATAGATAGAGGTAGTACGGGGAGATAAATATTAGATCAGTATAGTAGAAATAAAATAGGAGAGGGAGAAAAAGCCGAGCATGAGGAAGCAGTCAGGTTGCCCCATGTGGCAGGCAGAGGTCGAGGCAGAGGCAGAGGCAGAGGCAGAGCGCCTCCAAAATACTGAATGAATCAAAACGGCTCCTTTTCTGCGCCTGATGAGCGTCTCTCTCTTCCTTGTTCCTTCTTTCCTTCCTCCCTCTCCCGCGTGCGCGTCTGTCGAGTTGAATCGAGGCCACCAACCAAATCTTCGTATACTATACCCAATTTTCCTGCCCCTCCGCATGTATATATGTATATGTATATGTATGTATGTATGTACACACAAGCCTAGTCAGAGGTACCAACACTACCAGTAGTATATATTGGCAAAGCATCCCTTTTCTCGTTTCCTCGCTCGCAATCGCAATTCGCAATACGTTTCCGCGCCGTCCCTCCCGCTTACCCGGCCGCGGCCGGCCATCCCATCCCGTCCTCCTCCTGCTGGCTGCTGGCTGCTGCTCCTCGTCCTCCCCAGCCGGCCACGCTTGCTGCCGCATCGGAACGCGAGGCGCGAGCGCTCCTCAGGAATGTGGGATGCGAGGGCTCCGCAGCTCCGGCGGCGGGGCCAGGGCGTCGTCATCTCCCTCCTCCTCCTCCATCTGCTGCTGCTGCTCCTCCTTGCAGGCGCCGCCAGCGGCCAGCAGCAGGTCCAGCCGCCGCCGCTGCCCCCTGTGCCTCCCGCTGACCTGCCGGACGTGGAGAGGCAGCTCAACAACCTGACCGACAACGTCGCCGTCACAATCTCCGACAAGTTCAGCTTCTGCGTCGCCGACGCGTAAGCTTGTTGCCTGACTGCTTCCTGCTGGCCGGCCCGGCGGCGGCGGCGGCGCCGTCGCCCGTCGGTACAAAGTAAAGATTTTTCCTGAATCCTCATCCCTGTAGCTGATCCTAATTGGTGGTGTGCTCTCAGGAAGGAGGATTGGAACGAGGCGTTCAACTACACGTCCGACCTCAGCTTCGTGGATCGCTGCCTCACGGAGACCCGAGGTAAGCCGCTCAAGGCCTTCATTGCTGTTTGACTGGTCAATTCACATTTCAGGATTTGAGCTCCTGTGTTGTGCTTGCTTCCTCTCTTCTTCTTCTTCTTCTGCACTGCGCTGGCCGGGTTTCCAGTTGATTTAATTAATTCGTTTGTTTGCTTTCGAGTGATCGATTTTGAATCCGAGAATCTCGTCTCGGTAAAGATTATTGGGCCGGGTGAAGAAATTATCAATTAGCTGGGGATAGGTGCCTGCCTGCAGCCTGCCTAGTCCCTAGGTTTCATCGACTTCTGATTAATCCCCACCGGACGGACTCAACTGCCCTGTTCTCTGTTACCCACTTCTATTTCATATGTACAGTACTCCACTCTTGTTTACAAAAGTCACAAGACTTTACATGAGTACAAAGACCAAAGACTTTCGATTTCACACCATGTTGTTGCGTTGTTCTTGTAGTCCCTGGATTTCCTGCTGTCCAATTGTCCACCTCTAAACTGAAAAGAAACCATCTTTATGTCTTCCGGGCAGCCAAGTGGCTGACTGGGACGTTGTCAGTTTGAAACAAGTGGCTACTGTACGCAATTTCTCCCTTGCGCGTTTTTTAAGCATTGGTTAGCAGTGGATAGCATGAAATGGATAGGTCGCATCGTGACATTATTGTATCTGTGACAAGTGGGACCCCTAGGCTATAACAACCATTTTTTTTTTCTGATTTGCAATTGCACAAACGAAATTGCGTACAGTAGCTGAATACGACATTGACACAGTTGGGTTTGACAAGCTCAACTCCAACTAATCGTACTATGATCGTACCTAATGACGTTTGCAATGTTTATGCATTTTTGACTCATTCTTGTATCAAATGAACTTGCCTTTTATCATTTTACTTTACTTATCACATGAATCGAATTAGACGCTGATATATATTCAATCCAATCCTAGTGTATAGGTAAAATTTTGGAAAACAAATATCAGGTTCAAGGCCACAGTACCGATTTTCGCATTGTATCTAATGAGTATAACGGTTCATTCAGGCGACCTGCCTCAGCGTCTCTGCACACCCGATGAAGTCAAATTCTACTTCTCAAGTTTGTACGACCGTGATGGCGACAAGAACATCAACCTCAAGACAAACATAAACTGCAACATATCTTATTGGGAGAAGGGGTGCGATGCAGGATGGGCTTGCGCCACCAATCCGGTTCAAGATCCCAGGAACCGTGGTAGCAACGGTATCCCGCTGAGAACAAGCAACTGCCAAGCGTGCTGCGAGGGATTCTTCTGCCCCCGCGGTCTTACTTGCATGCTCCGTGAGTTTCATCTCTCTGACAAGTTCTAAACACTTTTCGTTTTTGGTCAGTTATTATATTATATTAAGTAGTTTAGAGAAATCAGTTTATTGGCTTGTGCTGACTTTGTGTTCCTCTTGGCGTCAGCTTGTCCACTAGGCTCATACTGTCCACGTGCCACGGCGAATCAGACAACTGGTCTTTGTGATCCGTAAGATTTTTCTTGATGCATTCCTGTTGCAATAGGTTTCTTGATAAACAAATTCAGTATGCCATGTATCTGAATTATGGAACTTTGATCAGATACAAGTATCAGATAACTCCAAACACGACTAATAGCTGTGGAGGTGCTGACATGTGGGCTGATATCCAGAGCACTGAAGAGATCTTCTGCCCAGCTGGTTTCCACTGTCCAAGCACAACAAAAAAAGATAATTGTAGCAGTGGGTACTGATCTATTTTCTCTATCTTGTACTTGTTTAAAGAGACTATCTTTTACTTGAACGTTAACGAAGTGAAGTGGTTTGATTTGGTCATTGTTGCTTGTTGCTCTGTTTCTTCTGCAGGCACTATTGCAGATTGGGTTCCACCGCTGAAGAGAGTAAGCGTCACGAACATGACTTTGATCACACAATCGTACAAACCTTTTTTCAATGAGCTGATTTAGGATTAATTTGCAGAGTGCATAATAAAGGGCTCCTGTGATGAAAACACAGAGAATGAAAACATCAAAATTCTTGGAGCTTGCATAGTGGTAAATCCTCTTGCATGCTTTTGTAAATTTCAGAAACTTAATGACTATGTTTGTGTTATAAAACAATGTTGTAATCAACTGCATTGCACGGTGCTTGTGCCTGCTGCTTCTTATCATATACAACTGCTCAGGGGTGCATTGTGATTCAAACTTTGCCATTCTACGCAGGGTGCATTGTGCCTTATGCTTCTTATCATATACAACTTCTCTGACAAATTCCTCAGCATCCGCGAACGGAGGAAAGCAAGATCAAGGGAGAATGCCATTCAGCTGGCTCGGCAGCAGCTGAAGACGCAAGAGGGATGGAAGGCCGCAAAACAGTTTGCAAGGAGGCATGTGAATGGTATGCAGGGTCATCTTTCACGCACATTTTCACGAAGGAGGTCATTTCGTCAGCAGGTAGACCCAGAAAAGTCTAGCCACAGGGTGCAGGAAGCACCACTGATGAGTCAGGTCCATATGCAGGAAATGTCAGATTCTGCTGTGTTTGCTTCTCAGAGCACAAATGAGATAACAGAAGTAATGCCATCAGTTATTGTCGATGTCAGTGATGATGGAGAAGTTGTTGCCACAAAGGAAAAGCCTGTGCCAAAAGGAAAGCACAGATCAACCCATACACAAGTATTCAAGTATGCATATGGCGAGATCGAGAAGGAGAAATTCCAGCAACAGGAGAACAAGAATCTAACCTTTACTGGTGTGATTGCCATGGTGAAGGATCAGCAGAAGGAGATAACTAGACCTTTGCTCAAGGTTGAGTTCAGGGACCTGACTTTGATGCTTGGAAAGAAGAAGCTGCTGAGATCTATCAATGGTGAACTCCGGCCAGGGCGTGTAACTGCTGTCATGGGCCCATCAGGGGCTGGCAAGACCACGTTCCTCAATGCCGTTACTGGGAAGGTGAGCGGCTACAAGATGACGGGTTCTGTCCTTGTTAATGGAAAGAACGTTAATATCCGTTCTTACAAAAAGATCATTGGATTTGTGCCACAAGATGACATTGTTCATGGAAACTTAACAGTGGAGGAAAACCTTTGGTTCAGTGCAAAGTGCAGGTAATGATTTTAAATTAAATACAATTTTGCAGTTATCCCACTAGTTTCTGTCATTTTTCAAAAATTAACAATTCTATTGTAAACCTAACAGGCTATCTGCAAGCATGAAGCATCGTGACAAGGTGCTCATAGTGGAGAGAGTAATAGATTCTCTGGATCTTCAGGGAATCAGAAATTCATTGGTTGGCACTGTTGAAAAGCGTGGGATTTCTGGGGGGCAGAGGAAGCGTGTCAATGTGGGCATTGAGATGGTGATGGAACCATCCCTTCTAATCCTGGATGAACCAACATCTGGCCTGGATAGCTCCTCATCACAACTTCTCCTCAGAGCTCTTCGGCATGAGGCGCTCGAAGGTGTCAATGTCTGTGCTGTTGTTCATCAACCGAGCTACACATTGTACAACATGTTCGATGATTTGATACTCCTTGCAAAAGGAGGGTTGATGGTTTATAATGGCCCAGTAAAGACGGTTGAGGAGTACTTCACAACTCTTGGAATCCATGTTCCTGACCGCGTAAATCCCCCAGACCACTACATTGACATTCTTGAGGGCATTGTGAAGCCTGAGTCTGGCATCAAAGCGAAGCACCTACCAGCGCACTGGATGCTACACAATGGCTATGAAGTACCAAGTGACATGAAAGATGATGTCAAGGAAATTGGTGAACAAACCCCACAATTCAGGTCCAGCTCCTCAATATCTGGTTCAACCCCTCACTGCCTCCCAATCAGAAATGCGTTTGCAGAAGAGCGTGACCGTCTCGAACAGCATTTATCAAAACCAAAGGACTTATCTAGCAGAAAAACACCAGGGATATTTATGCAGTACAAATATTACTTGGGAAGGTAAGCTCGCTCAATGCAACCATTTCAATCTTCTTCTCACAATCTTGAACAGCTACTAATCAGTTGTTACTGAATATATATACCATTCAGGGTTACGAAACAGCGGCTGCGTGAAGCTAGGCTGCTCATGGTTGATTTCCTAATACTAGGGCTAGCTGGTATCTGCTTAGGGACGATAGCAAAGCTCAGTGACAAAACATTCGGAATGCCTGGATACATATACACTATAATTGCAGTTTGTAAGTTCAGATATACACACCCTGTTTTCACAATGAACTAGATGAAAAGTTCCTGACATAAGCTACTACCATGCAGCTCTACTGTGCAAGATTGCAGCACTGCGGTCATTTTCACTGGAGCGATTGCAGTACTTTAGGGAAAGAGAATCTGGGATGAGCTCTCTGGCATACTTCCTTGCTAGGGACACAATTGATCATTTCAGTACTGTTGTGAAGCCGATCATTTACCTATCTATGTTCTACTACTTCAATAACCCAAGATCAACAATTGGTGATAACTACGTTGTGCTCTTCGCACTTGTGTATTGTGTGACGGGGATAGGATACACTTTTGCTATCTGCTTCAGTCCTGGCTCAGCACAGCTGGTATGCATCATGACAATTAAATTTCTCGTACAACATCTTCTGAATGATCGGCCCACATATATATACTTAACCTCATTCTGATGCTTGTCACAGTGTTCTGCACTTATACCGGTTGTTCTAACTCTGTTATCCACTCAAAGGAGTACTCCAACATTTCTCAAGAGATTGTGCTACTCAAAATGGGCATTGGAGGGCTTCATAATTGTAAATGCCAAGAAGTAAGTACTTGTTCATCACTGTCTCTTTTCAGGCTAGAGTTTTTGCTTTATGCATGTCCCTGTTGTAATGTACTGAACATCAACTAATGGGATTTTTCTTTTCTTTTTGTGCAGGTATCCTGGAGTTTGGCTTATAACTCGCTGCGGCCTGTTGTTCCAGAGTCAATTTGATATCCACAACTACAAGCTCTGTATTTTGGTTTTGTTCATGTATGGTCTGTTCTTCAGGATGGTGGCATTTGCTGCAATGATTTTACTGAAGAAGAGATGAATGTAGTATAGCTGTACCATTTAGTTCATATTTAATTTCTTCATTCATTTGTACATTTGTAGATCAGTTCTGATGAAATGTTTTATAGCACTGACCGGCCGGTGTACAGATGAGAAAAAGGCAATAGAAATGCTGATTTTTTTTGGCATTATTCTTTTAGCTGTACATCCCCATCTCCGAAATCCTGTGGTTGTGTTTGAAAAAAAAATTCAAAAAAAATTGTTATCGGAACTGAGAGTCCATAGCTGTGTAGTAAACATGATTACAATTAATTGATACTCATCACGATTTGATAGAGAGTAAAGAGTATCTACTATGACTATTGTGTTACAAAATGAACAAGGACAAAAAACATACAGTTTAATATAATTAATTTTTATTATTTAGAAGTAGCTAGCCCGTGCGAGAGCAGCAGTCGACGGACTAGTTGTTTCTTATAATAAGCCAGTGATTCAGCCACCCTAATGGAAGAATTCTTAAAGTGGGGCAATATGTGGCTAGCAAACCGAGAGCGAGATTCATGGACGACCATTGGGCTGCGGCGAATATTTGTCTGTCTCGCTGCGTGGCGTAGTCGGCGCAGGTACCGGGGGGTGGCTGTTGACATAACCCTTGAAACGATAGCCATGAGAGCATGTAGGAAAGCTGAGAACCATCCTTGTCGCTCGCGAGGCTGGCAAGGCTCTCCTCATCAACTGCCATTGCATAATCCGAACGTCTCGTGCGCACGTAGTCATTGCAGTCATCGGTGTCCGAGATGATCATGATCAAACCCATGGCCGTCTTGTCCTCCTGATCATCCAAACGCTGAGCTCGTACGATATAATTGTGCACACAAAAAAAGACAAACAAATTAGAGAGTTAGTTCTGGTGCTCTAAAATACAAAGAAAGAATGGGTCGCAAAGGTATTTAATCATTTATGATTTTACCCAGCCTGCCAGCCCAGCCCAAGTTTACGCGCGGTTTTTTTCACATCAGAGACGCCAGCTTATTGTAGGTTTATGATTTGTGACCGCGCGTTTCTTGTTTCCGCGTTTTGTGCTTGTTCTTTTTAGGCCTCATCGACTTTGTGTGGGGTATGGATGTGTTTTGTGAGAGAATGTGGTAGTTCACCATTTTCTCGCTCTCTTCTTTTATTTTTTGGTTCGTAGAATGGAATAGTTGATCATCACTGTCTTATTCCTTATAAGTTAATAAATAGTATAAGCACGGAGAATTGAGTCATTCTACAAAATTTTATAAAATTAAATTATGATGTACTAACTTGTATAGGATGAGGTGATTGCTCAAACCTAGTACTCGAGCATTTTTCTAGCTCTTTACCTCCTTTTGCCTCTAGAATGGAATGAGTTGATCCATCACCGTCTTGTTCCTTACAAGCTAATAAATAGTATAAGCATAAGAATCGATTCATTCTACTAAGTTTTATAAGTATTAATAGTGAAATTGAAGCAGTTCTAACCTTGTCTATCTAATTATTGCGATATAACCAGTAATCCGGTACAAACATATGTTTCAGAAGCTATATATATATATATATATATATATATATATATATATATATATATATATATATATATATATATATATATATATATATATAGTAGAACTACTACCCTAGCTATAAAATAACTTATTTTGTAACCACTTTAACTTACGATAATTACTATGTTAATTTACGAGATTATAGTAACTCCTTACTAAGTGGTTTACTATAACGTTATGGTAAATATCTCCATGTGTTATAGTAACCCAACTATCGTAAATATGTATTGACATTATCGTAAATTAGTATATAAAATTATCGTAAATGGAGGTGGCTACAGAATAACTTATTTTGTAGCCGGCTACTGAATATACTCTCCCTATATAGGGTAGTAGTTTATATATATATATATATATATATACACACACACAAGATGTTGTTTATTACTACCGCTCGAGCTAGGTTTTATTGACAGTAATGGCCAGAGAAGAATGTACCGTTTGGTAAAATATAACATTTTGTGCCAAACCTAGAGACAAGTGGGTTTAGGTGTTCATGATTTGGTTATTAAGAATGTTGCTTTACTCAGCACAATGGTTGTTCAAGCTACTAACGATAGATGGAATATGACCACAAATGTTATACAATAAATATCGTGGATCTAAACCATTTTCATGGACTTAGAGGGAGCGGGGACTCACATTTCTATGTTAGATTGCAAGTCTCATAAAGGTTAAATAAGATTTTCTTCATTTTGGATCCTTCATAATTAAAGAATGCCTTACAGATTATATTTTGGGAAGATAGATGGTTGTGCAATGTGACATTGCTTGAACAATATCCCTGATTCTAAAACATAGTCAGACATAAATAGACCACTGTAGCAGATGTTTTGAGTGCCTCACCTCCTATTTTTCTCCATGCACGGATTTAATATGACCTAAGTTAGTAGCAAGGAAAAATTGGTTACCAAGCATTACTAATGTACTAACCAACTACACAAGATCTAACATTGCATTCGTGGTTAACTTGTTGGCAGTGATGCCCAAAACAGAAAACATTGGGTTGGCGTCAAGAGTGACCTTATGTACGTACCAGGTACCTAAGACCTTGGGCTATGGTTCCTGAAAAACAAAGACCAAATCATGGTAGGGTGTATGGATGCTGGTTGTATGTCTGACCTACATAATGCCAAATCCGGGATGCATTTGTGTTTCTCTCTAGTGGTACATCCATTTCATGGCAGTTTATGGAATAGACCTTGGTTGCTACGTCAACCAACCACTCAGAGATAATTGCACTTTATGAGGTCACATGAGAATGTGCTTGGCTCAGACAATGATCAGTAGCATCCAAAAGTCATGTAGCCTAGATCTTGACACTTCTCACATCGCTAATCTTTGAAGATAAAACTACTTGTGCTGCATAAGTGCATATTGGATATTGCAAGGAAAATGGCACCTGGTATGGGCCATTGGTGTGTTGATTTTGGTTTTTGATGAACGACATTAACAGTTGGACTAATAACGTTTGCTAGTATACAAGGAAAGTTCCTGATGGATGCTCGGTGGACTTGGACTTAGACAATGTGGAGATTGGCATGATCAACACCCCAGGCAACATTAGAAGCTATGTTCAAGACCTACAAATGCTGCAAGAAGTCCAAGATACAAGGTGGAACCAAGCTGAAAGAAATGATGTGAAGAAAACATGTGAAACCCTGCTGTTTTCATACCACCGGAATAATCCCGTGTGACCCCATGTAGGGCACCCAAGAATGTGGCTAGTGTAGGAGAAACCAAGGTTTTAAACCTCACCAGTGCACCCAAGAATGTGGCCACCACCAAGGCCCACAGCGTTTCGCCGAACACTAAAGAGTGAAGATAGCAGGGAGCGGCCCAGGAGAGGTGTCGACAGAATATCGTCGACAGTCTTCCGAGGGTATCCTACGAAGGTAGATTGATCGGCAGAGGTGCGCATAATCAAGAACAAGAAGGCAACAAAGACACAAGAGTTAGACAGGTTCGGGCCGCCAGCACGACTTAATACCCTACTCCTGTGGTCTGTTGGTTTGTATTGGTTATCGTATGATATTGCGTGTATTTTGAGGGGGTCCCCCTACCCGCCTTATATAGCCGGGGGTAGGGTTACAGGTCGGTTAGATCTAGGAGATAACCGGTAAGTAATAACAGATTACATGAATCACGAGATCGTAACATATCCTAACAGATTATGCCGTATCTCTAGGATACCTTCCCGGTGTCTTATGGGGCACGCCGAGTAGCGTCGTGCTCCACAAGGCTTCATCCTGTGGGCTGGACCGCCCCTGGTGACGCAGCCCATGTATTCCGACATGGGTATCCGGTGTCGTACCCGCCACAGCTAGTCCCCGAGCGCCTTGTATCCACTGGTAACGCTGTCTTGAGCTTGTCCGAGAAGGTGAATCTGACGCCGAGCAGCTAGGACCGAGTTTCGACCAGCGTTATTGATGATCGAAGCAGCAGTAAACGTGGCCGACCAGTATAGCCAACTAGCAGTGCTCGGACTCAACCAAGCACGGCTTGCCAGAAGGATGTAAGGAGCTCAAATTCAAATTTTGAAAATTCTTCACTTTGAACTAAGAGTGCCCACTTAGACTCCGTTCGACGAGGAGTGGATGGGGGCCATCTGGGTGCTCGGAGACATGGAGACGTTCATCAGACACGAAGATCAATACACGCATAGCAAGGTGCAGTGTATACACTATAGTCCCCGAGCCTGGTAGTAGGTGATGTAGTCACGTGGTGCTAGGGTCAAATTTTGAGAGCCTGAAAGACTGGCCGAGCGGGCAACCAGCTCTTGGGTGTAGCTTTGCAACACTAGCCAAACGTTAACCGCAAGGTGAAGTGTGCCCACTTAGTCCCCAAGCCTGACAGTAGGTGACGTGGTCACGTGGTGCCAGGGTTAGAAACAACAGTAACAAAAAAAAGTCCCTGGTATGGTGAGAGACCAAATCATAATGATGACGTAGTCCCCGAGCCACAAGTGGAAATCGTCAGATAAATCAAGATGTGCCAATTACTCAAATCATGGAGAAAAAACTAGAGTAATGACTGTATAGTAGAAATTACTGAGACATGATGGAATTATGGAGAGGCCGACGAATATTCGGTGTGCAGTACCGAGTTGTGTCGAAAAATGGGCGATATGGGCCATAGTTGCGCGAAAGCCCAGATAACGGCCCAGCACAGCGCTTTGGGGAATTCGAAAGGGCGCAAATCGGCATGGTGCGGCTTCCCAAAAACCCTTCAATGCGAAAAGTCGGGAGGGTATCCTTATAACTCTGTCGCCGCACTCCGCGCTCCCACCTTTGCCACTCCATTGCCTCGTCTTCCTCCTTGCCCTCGCTCTCCCCCATTTGCATTCTCACGCGCTCCGCCGCCAGGGCTAAAAAACTTGAGTGAAGGGGCCAGTTCTGATCCAGATCTGAGGGATGGCGCCGAAGAGGGGGAGTGCTAGCATGAAGAAGGCGGC